CAACACAGGCCCGTAAAACGCGAGCGAGCGCGCGAGCGTGCGAGACACAACGGAACGTAGTGTAGAAACGAGACGAGTGTAGAAACGTGCAATACAGGTGACCAACACGCACACGCACACGCATGCCCGAACGATTTGTCCGTGCAGATCCTACGGTATAAAATTAAATGGTGTTCGGTAGGTCTATTTCACTCGGGCAGGTAGCGGCCACCGGTAATTACTACCTACGACTTGGGAGCTCAGAGATAAAATGAAAGGCCCGGACGATTTTCGAAACCGAAATCGCGTCAGTCGCTGATGCGATGTTGCTGTTGTTGTTGCTGTTTCTGTTGCGCGCTTCTATTCTTCTTTTTGCCAATTCTCACTCTTGTCCTTTCTTTCCTTCTGCATGCAATTCGAAATGATCGATCGAGCCATTTGATTCGCGATTATTGGCGAGATAAAGAGATGATAAAAAATGTGTAATTTCCACTACTTTATTGGCATGTGGGATATATGAGAGATTATGTTTGCGTAATTAGTTTTAGGAAATTATTGCGCCGCGCCCTGTCACGATTCTTTTTCCTCTATTTTTGGGTGTATCGATTATCTGAGACCGTTTAATGCAAGTTGTTTAAGACAACGCTGAGGCACTTAGCTAATTTAGCTAATTTAGATGGAAATTTTTTGAAGACGCGTCGCTGTTTTCCAATTAGCGTCTTAACATCTAATGATAAGATACGGGTACTTTCATCGATGCGTCCCACTGCGTCGCCAGACGGTAGCGGATTCGCAATTAAGATATTAAAGGAACACTTCTCTTCCGTAAGTTTACATAATCATAGCCGGGTGTAATTACGTATTTACATAATTACATATATACCGTGCACGTTTATTCCACGCTAATGAGATCGGCGATAACAATCGATTTGTACAGCCTACTTTCTGCATTTATCCACTTTTTAAACCTGTTTATCTTCGAGTTAAGCGCAATAATTATCACCCACAAATCGTTATGCATTGAATTCTATAATCTTGTTTTTTTCGTAATATTGTCGATTAATTCCGAATGCTACCAATAATGTCGAGATACTTTGCGCAAGAAAATATTATATTTAAATAAAAATTGTCATTTCTTTATTTTTCCATACATTCATTGTCATTTGATGATGAAACTGGAAAAATTCACGAACTACGACGAATTTCGTATTTGTTCTTTAGCCAGCTTAGGAAAAATCGCGCGAATGCGCCAAGCGGACTTTTCGAAAGCGCAGGCATTGCAGTTCTAATTTTCGCGAAGGCGCGGTTTGCACCGGCAAATGAGTTTCCTTGGAAGGGGGTGAGAACAAAGGAAGAAGGAAGACGCACTTGAAGAGGACACGGTAGAGTCGTTCCTCAGTATGCGTTCCGCGAGCGTTTTTTTTTCGGCCGCACGGGCGAATTATTCGTACTTCGCGAGTTCCACGAGAGTGTATATAAAAGTAGGCGCACTGAGGTATGGCTCGCTGCACCTTGACTATGCGGAAAGGAAAGGCTCTTCTTCTCTGCGAACGCCGACCGACCGACCGACCGACCGACCGCTGTGCGAGCGAACGCATACACTTGCGCATGCAATACAACTCACGCGTATGCAATTCGCCAGCATGTAGGTATATTGAAGGCCGTCACCCTACTAGCTTGTGTGCACAAACACATACACACACACACACACACACACACACTGTATGATTAACGTTGCGATAGGTTACAAAGGTGTACATATGCTGATGGCAACGGTAACACACTTTTAGAATAAAATGTTAAAATATTCTGTTTTATTAAGTGATCAGAAATTTAACTCAAAAAAATAATTTTCGGAACTTAAGATCACCAAACCTGTTCATTGTTGAGAATGTTCAATTTTACAAAACATTGTATATATATTTTTTCCGATTTCGTCATTGAGAAAGTAGAAACATCGTAGAAATAAAAATTTTTATTTTTTGCAAATCGTGGAAACCTGTTTGGACAATGGAGTTATTACAATATTTGTATAATATATGGTTAGAAAGGGTTGAACTTTCAACCTAATAACCGCGAAAGCGGGCGTCGCTGCGGAAGACGAAAGAAATAATCGCTCCTCAGAAGGTACTAGGATAGCTAGGGAAGTGATCGTTAATATGAAGGTGTCCACTTTTATTACACCTCGACAGCCCCGGGGAACTTCAATTATCGTTGGGTGGCGGTCAACTCCGACGATGTGAGAAACTATTGGAGGATAAAGATTCGAATAGATATTTGTAGGAAGAAACTGAAATAGAATCTTCAATATATGCAGTGTACATTAATAACTTGCCTTTATATATTTTTTATTTACAGTACAATGTAACGTATCACTGCATTACATATAGCACTTACATTACTAAGCATTGCGTTATTTTATAAGAAAAATGCAATACGTTGTTGAAATATTATATCATGGAAATTCCTGTCACATTTTTCAATCCGTTACCGAAATTTCGTCGGACATTCTGGTCGCGTCCGCGAGCGATTCTCTTGAGCATCTCCCGGCCGAGGCTCCGTAAGCGCCCATCCGCGACTTCGTCGGAGAGACTCTTCCGTGTCGGCTAACTTAAAGCATCTTCAGCTTGCTCGTCGCCCGACAATTTCTCGTCGGCACGTGAGCGGACTGTGCAAAGTTTGCGGAACGCGCGTTTGCAAACGTTCGCGCGCGTTCGCTCGCCAGCAAGAGAATGAGCGAGAGAGAAAGAGAGAGAAAGAGCTCTATCGCCTGGACCGCACGGAGGCAGGAGGTTACCGGCGAAGCCGAGAGAGCCTCCAGAATAAGTATGCTCGGCTAATAAAACGCGTACGCGCGCGTCGTTACACACAGCGTTCGCTTTCCAAACAAACGCGCGGCTCTCGTCACCGCGCGCATTCGGAAACTCGTACGACGGGATTTATCGCTGTACGGACATCCGTCGTCGTAAACGAGAACCGCGACGATGACGACGACGTTGAACGTCGTCTCGCGACACGACACGAATCGAAGAGAGCGAAAAAGAAAGAGAGAGAGAGAGAGAGGCTGCGGCCCATCCTCCATTTTCCGACACACAAAAAGCATCGAGCGATGTTAATAGACGTACAAGACGCTGTGGGGATAGTTATTACTATTGCCGAATGGGTCGGGTTAACGCGGAGATAAATCGCGATATTATTTTTATGGCGATGGAATCGCATATACGCGAGGTCGTCTTCGCGAGCAACAGCTTGATCGTAAAGCACAAAACGCTCGTTTGAAATTTATTAAAATGAGCCTCCTTCCGTGCCACCGCGAGCTATGAATGACACACGATGGAGCAAATAGCAATATTTCGAATTGTCTCTAAATACGGTTCAACTCTATTATTGAAATACTGGAGTTGCAGATATTGATTTCGCAAAAACAACAATTGATTCACGTGCCGCTTTTCGTTTTCTTTTAACGATTTCTCCAAATTGCTCCAAGTGTACATTACCACGCATATCATTATGCGAGTCAAAAGGCACGAAATTATACGCGGCTAGTATATCTTGGGCGAATTTCTATACGTGGCCGTATTGTCGGAACGCACAAAAGATCCAATTCATTATACGAATTCCATTGTGTTATCGCCCCCTTCGCTGCTCCGCCTTTCTTGAATCGCGCGATTATCGTCACGCGGTCGATCGCGTATAGTATGGTTTGCTTTTTCAATTATTCTTTGATTTATTCCCGACGTCTTCTGAACCGGAGCCGCGGGAGCTCAGCGCCGCGCCGACCCGTTAAAATGTCACTCGCGAGACGGGCTTATATAACGTAGAGGGAAACGCGTTATGGAAAGCAAAGGCCAGCAGACGATCCTTTGCGCTTTCTACCTTCGATCTTACTCTTACAATAATTACGTATGTCATGTATATACGTACACACATACGAACGTGTGCGTGTACCATATTGAACATACCCTATACACACGCTCGCGGTGTATAGTGCGATCCTATACTCCTACGTGTAGCTCTTTAAGTGAATTAAACCATAACAAAATTACTTTCTCGAGAAAGCCTGTTTGTATAGGCTATCGTTACCACGTTAATTTCTAAAAGTGTTTCTAATCGATTCTAAATAATTGGACGACTTATTTACAAAATTAAAAAAAGGATATTAAAATAGAACAAATTGTGAATATATATTTAGTTTTTTTTTTTATGTTTGTCTTGATACGTATTTATACATTTTGATTATTAAACTGATTGCATGTTATTATCCGAATTTACGTATAAGGAGCTCAGATTCGCAAGAGTGAAAAAGTAATCATTCATTATACTTTATATGTAGAACGTATGATGCGTATCGCGCGTAACGGCACGCAGTATCGCGGCGAACACGAAAATTGCCCGGCCGTGATTGCAGTTTCGAAACTGCTCGATTTCTTTTCCGAGATTGGCCCGAAGCTGCTGCTGCTGCTGCTGCTGCTGCTGCTACTGCTGCATTCAGTGCATTCGCCTGAGGCCTGTCTCTCTCTCTCTCTCTCTCCTCCTGAGATGCTAATATGAGATTTCCGTTTCCACGATACGCAATAATGGACAGTAACCCGAGGCCTTTTCAGGTTCCCGCGCTTGGCGCAAAAGTGGGAACCGAATTTATAAAAAAGTCTTTCATAATACTAGAAGGGGTTCCCCATTTTTCCTCTCCCTTATTCTTACCGTTCACTTTTCCTAAATTTCACGGTTTACGAAATAAATTCCTGACAAGTTAATGAAAAGCGAGTAATTCCGCACTTAACAAATCGTTGCGCAACTCTTATATGCTTAGATGTATAACATCTAAGCATAAATTGGTTTTATCTGAAACGGCAGAAGTTCTTTAATCCTAAAAAGTGTTTTTTGCTATTAGACATTAAATGTAATCAACGTAATATGATGTAATTAATCATTATAACGATAATAAAATCGACATTGAAACGCGAAATGGTCTAATAATAAATTACGTTAATTTTAAAGACTGTTTTTGTTTGCTGCTGCAGGCGACAACCGCGAGCGGATATTTCGAGGTGCAGATCCTCTCGCTGACGAACAACAGGGGCACTCTGGTGGACGGTAGATGTTGCGGCGGAGGAGGCGGGGGCGGAAAAGGAGACTTCCCGCCCTGCACGACGCCCTGCTCGACAGCCTTCTGGCTCTGTCTCAAGGAGTACCAGTCGAACGTCACTGCCATCGGCTCCTGTAGCTTCGGCAACGTTTCTAGTCACGCCCTCGGCCCGAACACTTTCACCCTTACCAACCCCGTCACTCTACAACTCCACTTCACCTTCCGATGGACGGTGAGTTGTTACTTCGTAATATTCTGCTTCTGAACTTATGTTTTTTTTTAAGCAATAATTGTTATCCACATTTTCTCTTGATGGTGCAATATAAGCATTGTGCAATATTATGTTAAAAAAATTTCGCGAACATGTTCTATATTTAATTTTGATTTATGAGCATTATCTGCTATGGCAAGTACTTTCCCATTTATGATTATGACACGTTCGTCAATATTGTTTATTTAATATCTATGGATTCAATGTTGACGCTGTCAGATGAGAATCAGACGTTCGCATTTAACGCTAAATACGCGTCGAGAGGATTGAGAAAAGGCAGTCTGTGAGTCGCTCGAGTGCCGAAACACGCGCGGCATCATCTAATATCCGTGAGAACGCGTGCGTCGGCTGAAAATCCCAACGTCGCCGTTACACCGCCGCGTACGCACGAGGCAACGAGGCCTTAATTCGATGTCCCGCGATTAATGACGCCGTATACAGTGTATATACGGGACCGTAATTTTGTTTGGTCACCGGCACAATGACGTCGCACCGAAAGATGGACGGGCGAGAGGATGAAGTCGTAACGAGGGGACGACACATTCGGGCTTACGAATCGGCTGCCATGGATCATTTATCATCGACGCCGTGACACGACGCCGACGGAGAACGGCGGCGTCTCATTAGCGACGCCGCCCCTGGGGGCCGACATTGTAAATATATGTGTGGGTATACCGGTGACTGTATGCCTTCTTTTCTCGTTCGAGTCTCCCATTCTCGAAATCGCCGAAAGCTGGCCGAGTGTGAATCGTGGCGAACGGCACGCCGCGCCGTTCCGTTCTTTCGCAACGTATAAGGCTAACGACCAGCAGCGAGTAAGAGTCGTGCGAGTTATAACTTCGCATTACATCGCCGGTCGGATGAATCGCGAATTTCTAGCCCCGATTTCCTTTGTCTACACGGCGAGGCGAGGAGACGCGCAAGAGAGCTATCGAATCCGCATGAGGGATTTCCGGTCTGTTGGTCTCCCATCCGCGCGAGAGTTGCGTAGAATTCCAGTTTGGTTCCAGTCGCTTGGCAACTCCTCATCGTCAGTTCCTCCATCTCTCCCGCTGCGTTCCTCCTTCTCACCAGGCTCTCGATGAACTCTCGCGGCGAAATTTTTACGATCGTTCACCCACGTTGAATTTACCTTGCCGCTTTTTCTTCAGTTATGAATCGGTGTGTTCGACCGTAAACAGCCGTTTTATGTATGAATAAAATAACCTTGTGCATTCAAAAATCGCGAATTTTCTATGAGACATTATACTAATCTTGATTCGTTTCTCACATTTTTCACAAGATAATCTCGTATTTAAAAAGCAATGAAGGAAAACTACGCGACTCGAAAAATAACATAAAATTTAAAAACGTATTTGCTTAATATCATTAATACTTCATTGTTACAACATTAGCATAAAATATGCAAGATTATAATATATTATCGTGCGCTAGAAAAATTTAATTCTTCTCGGGAGCCGGGAGAGTCGTCTTGTTGGTACCCAATTAGTAGCACACCACCTACGACCAGACCGCCATCGTCGTCTAACGTAATTACGGCATAATGTACGAGCGATTTCGAGGATGCCCAAACAGTCCTCTCAAGAGAAGTTGAAGTGCGCAGGCAGGCGTGCCCCTAGCGAGCCGGGTATACTCACAGGACCGTCGAGAGTGCCTGCTTCAGACGACGATGAGTTCGGTGGGTGCCTGACGGGTCCTGAAGGGCACCGCATTCGAAAAAACGCACCCGTGTACCTACCTACACGCGTCCGCGTCGTCCTGAGTTGTTTGAAGAGCGCCAGTCTTTCTGTTTGTATATTTCATAACTCGCTCGCGGGTATCTTTCGACGAGAGGACCCATCGCGCGACAAAGGGACTCTACGAGACCTCGTTTTTTCTGTTTTTTCCCTCCTTTCTCTCCCTCTCTTTCTTTCTTTCTCTCCTCCTCCCTCTTTTCTCCAGAAGAATCACCGCGCAAGTGGTATAAACAGAAACCCCTAAATTGCTTTCCTTTCGTGAAGGATTCCTTCTCTCGTTTTTGACGCGCTGCCTTCGATCATTTAGCGTTTCGCCGGTCTAATTCAATTATGATGCCGCTGCTGCGCAATAAAGAAAAAAAAAAGTATGTAGAAAGCATACAGGTGCGCAAGAATGTGGGCATGTTTGCGCATAACGAAATACGTTAAAATAAGGGGACGGGAGGAGAATAGCAGGCGCGGAGATAAAAGCCCGGATGCCTCGGTATCTCGCGTACTCGCGTCATGTAATAGCTACAGAACGGTTTTCATATGGCGTATCCACCATGGAAAACGGTAAATCGCCTGACTTTCATCGTCCTTCCGCGGATAATGCCGTCATTATCGTCTCCGCTGATTGAATACGGTATATATAATCTCGTCCTCTCGACTAGTACTGAGACTACCGAGACGCGAGTGAGCGGCGAACACTCTCGCGCAGGCTACCGAAAGCCACCTGCGCTTAGTGAAGCTGGCTTGAGAGAGTCCCCTTCTCGTATAAATCTTATGATTTTCATCATTCAGCCATGAACGAGCCATCGGTGCCTTGATCGCGCGTTTATTCGTGCCAAGATTTTCAATCTAAATCTATCGTTCTCGTTTCTCGCTCGAAATCGGAAAATAATTTGAGAACGATTTCTCCACTTGACGCGAATTACCTGCAGTCGCGTGTACGTGCGAAAATTGCAATTCGAATTCGGTGTTTCGTATACGCGAAACTCATCACGATAAAATAATTGGATCGTTGAGTTTAATACACGGAAAAACATGGTCTAATGCTACTGATAGTCCTAGATACTAGATATCCATCTAGATACGTGTGTAACTTTCGATAAGTTACATATGCGGATATCGCCAGCAATCGCAAGAGTTTTCTAATAGCGACCTAGTTTACGCGGACGTGATGCGGTCGCGATAGTAACGTCAAACGTTGTAATCGTAGTCGTCGTCGTCGTCGTCGTCTCTCGTCGTCGTTGTCGACTTTCCCTGCTTCTAATTTCAATACCGATTTAAGGAATACGGGATGGGATAAGCATCTCTCTCCTGTCTTCGGCAGTCGCATAATGGTACGAGAAGCGATCGGCGAGATGAGAGTATACGGTCGAGCTTTTGCACAATCCACTTCGGAGCTATATGCATCTTCGAACCAAGAAACGTGTTCCGTGTCTCCTTTCTCCGGCCACGCATCTCCTCCTCGTGATTCGATCTCTCTTTCTCTCTCGCCTGTTCTCTGCATCCTTACACAAATCGCTCTCCCATCTCTCATTCTCTCCCCTCGACTTATCCCCGTTCGTTCTCGATAATTTCTCTTTGTCGTTCGACCGTTGCCAATGCGATTCTATGAACTCGACTATACGGTTCACATGCGATGGTGCGCGTATATGTATATAACGCGACCTGTCCGTGCGTTTTGTATGCACCGGCACGCATCGACTGGCCGATGTGTTGAACGCATCGGAACACATACACACCCGCGCGTACAATGTCTCCAATCTAGGCGCCACTATGAATGGTAGAACGCCACGAGACGCCGCTGGATCCACGTGGACGCTGCAGAATTGTGCTTAGAATAACGCGTATCCAATTGTTCAAGTAGTGAATTTTAGTTATTTTTTTCGTACTGCTGTTAATTGATTTTGTGCGAAAAGACAACCGAAACTGGTAAATTTATAATCAGCAATGATTGTCGGAAAGTTTCGCCTAAAAAAATAGAGATTTTAGTTATGAAAATTGTTTCTTATAAGTGTGGCATTGGCACACGATTACGCGAAACACAAAAGCGAAAGAGTCTCTCCGGATTGAATTGGAAACCGTGTCCGTGGCACGTTTAATCTCCTTTCCCCGAGCACGTGATTAATTCCGACAATCGTAGTTTCGATAATGGACGTATAATGATAAACGATGTTCGACCGTGCGGCATTCATCACGTAAGAGGCGGCGGTGGCGGCCGGCAGCGGGAACGGTGGGGAGCGGAGCGGGGAACGAAAATGAAGGAGCCCGTTTGAAGACGCGTCGCGGAACGCCACGGGGATCGAACGACGTGAGTCAGGGGCCCAACAGGTGTACATCCGTGTCTCGAAAACGAGCCTCGCGGCCTTATAAGCGTTTTCCATTCCCGCCGATATCTTCGTTGCCCTTCCAATCTACCGCGTGTTTCAAAACTACGAGCACAATTTGGAATCGATTCTCTTTTACTTCGCATTTATCCTTGATTGGAGACTACAATGTTTACATGAAAAATTATCCCTTTTTGTCCTTCGAATATTCTTCTATAAACCTATTAAAATAAATCTTCAAATTAATTATTTCTTATTTTTGTGTCTCTCGAAAGTTGAAAACAGTTTTGCTAGTTATTAAACATAATGACGTAATGACAATGATCTCTTCTTTATAAGAGGACAACTTTCAACGTTTTATTTTATTTAATGCTGCTCGCCGGCTGCGCCATTCGCAACTGCTGGTCACACCGTGCACTTAATAGCGTCATGAATAAACCGCGCTAAGCCCGCGAGCGGCACCTACGGTTGTTCAAATATATTAGCGCCGTTAATATGCGACGCTAACGCGAATAATGAATAACACTCGCGGGATTTACATCGCGCCGCCGTTCGCGTCGCGCATCCCTGCGCGTCGCCGAGCCTTTTTCTAATCGCACGTAAATTGCACTATTTCGAATGCGGAAGCGCGAGCGATTTGTCAAAACTTCCGTGCAAACCGGTCTTCAGGGGAAGAGACCGGCGATCCGAAATTGCTCTCTTTGCGCCGATCGCCCGCGGGGGTTGCAATCACGGCCGGCCGCATCGGTCCCGCCATCGAGATTTACGTTCGCGCGAATTAAAGATTTCCTGATTGCCAGTTCCTGACTGATCGGCTTCCTGGCGTAGACAATCTCTCAACGAAAATCAGCGATCGCAACGACACAACACGCGCTCGCAGTACTCCCACGTACATGTCGACATTAATCTT